TTCATAATTCAAATTATTGTTACAATTTAAATGGGAATACATTAAATACTGTGGTTGAAGAAAAATATCTTGGTGTTGTGATAAAAATTTACTTAAGTCATTTAAACAGTGTATTGTAGCTAGCAATAGGGCTAATAGGATTTTGGGTAGCATCTATAAAAATACTGAATACAAAACAAGGGATATTATTATTTCACTGTATAGATCACTTGTAAGGCCTCATTTGGAGTACTGTGTACAGTTTTGGGCTCCCTTCCTCAAGAAGGTCATTGAATTGTTAGAGAAGGTTCAGAGAAGAGCCACTAGATTGATACCTGGGATGGTGGGATTGTCCTATGAGGAGAGAATAAAATCTCTAAACTTGTTTTCTCTGGAGAAGAGAAGGGTTAGAGAGGATTTGATTGAGGTGTTTAAAATTATTAAGGGTATTGATAATATATATCCGTCAAACTTTTTTGTACTTAGCAGTGAAAACAATAGGACAAGGGGTCATAAGTTTAAATTTTGGCAGTGTAGGAGTCATCTGCAGTTTAGACAGTATTACTTTTCAAACAGGATGGTTGGCATTTGGAATGAGCTGACTTCAAGGGTGGTGGGGGCAGAAAATTTAACTGAGTTCAATAAAAGATTGGATGAATACATGAGTAGTAAGGGGTGGTTATAGTTGGTAGCTGGGACATCCTTGATGGGCTAACAAGCTCCTTTTTGTCCCTTTAAAATTTCAAGAATTTGTAAAAAATTATGGGTTAAAAGAGTTAATCACTTTTTGGAAAATTTTCAATTTCACTTCCAATTTGAGAATAAGGTTGACCCCTGAGACTCTCAAGATTAGCTGCAAAAAAAAAAAAAAAATCTAAAAAAAAAAAATTTAAGATTAGCTGCACAAATTTATTTGGAAACAAAGAATAACATCTAAATAGTCATTCAAAACAGGGTGTGCACATTTTTTCATGTAGTTGTTGCTTAAAGATTTCCGTAAGTAATTTACTAGTTTTTAAAAATGCAATAGAACTTTGAAAGCGGGAAAAAAATAACACAAAAATTTTTTACTATCATAAAAGGATTAATGATTTTTATAATATTTTTGAAATAATGTTTGCATTTGTATTTAGAATATTTGTACAAAATACATAAGGGCAGTCTGGGCATAGCCAAACCTAATTTTCAGCTGATGTACAAGAGGGAAGACAGAATCCATCACCAATTTTGGGGCTCTCATTGTATGACTGAATAATGAGATCAGAACCATGTGGAGCAAGTTTTTGTGACAATAGGATACAAACCTTGAATATACAGATCTCAGCACACTAACCAAGCCATGAATGGCCTGAAACAGTTAAAATATTAGTAAGGCATTACTTGCCTTTAGTGCTATCAAACTATACATAGTAATAAACAATTACAATGTTACTAATTAAAATATACTTGGCAAATTCTCTCATGATAATATAGTGTAGCAACTGAAACATTAGTGTTTAACATGTAAACTATGTAGTAACTGAAACATTAGTGTTTAACATGTAAACTATGTAGTAACTGAAACATTAGTGTTTAACATGTAAACTATGTAGTAACTGAA